AATGACTCTCTCCCCCCCTCTTATCAGCAGTAGCATGCTGGGACAAAGCAAAAAATAAAGGAACTTAACTGAACCCTGACGATGTCGGACAGAGTTCAGTTAAGTTCCTTTATTTTTATACACACACGTACATAAGCATATCTCAGTCCGTTCTTCCTTGTGTCCTCTCCCTGGCACCAATCCCTGAGCCACCTGCCCACTCTCTCCCTCTTGCAACCGACACTGACCATCCCCCACTACCACAGCCCGATATTGTGTGTGGAAAATAAACTCCAGGATCCACCCCTGATCTGGATCCACAACACCAATTAATGGGTCCTTCCCTGATACATACCTCATCCATCAAGGGTGAGCCCATAACCTCCTTGGTGGTGGTAAAGAGCAGGTCTGGTGACTCCTGAGAGCAGCTTGGCTTCTTTTTGGGAATGTGTGGTACATGTTTGCGATGGTACAACTCTAACACGTCATAACATTCAGAACCAATGTCCTAAATTACTTTACCATCTGGAATTTGCACACATCGTGACCTCAAGAGAGACTATAAATGTTTGAGCCAAACTCAACCTTTCAGTCCGAGCACTCGTCCTCATGAGGCCCTGAAGACTTGGAAAAAAAACACAAGACCCTTCTTCCTCAATACACCAGCGTTTTCTGAATGTATCCTGATCTGAGCAGCGATAACAAGCTCTCCGCTGCGAGCAAGGCCCCGGGGAGGAAAACACACATATGTACAACTGCTCATGCATCATGGGACACGAGCAGGAATGTGAGGGGAAATGTGGGGTGGGGGGGGGGTGACTTTCTCCAGCAAACGCCGCTATAATAACAAGGCTGTGGGCAAAAGAAAAGAAGCCACTGCCCCAGAATAATTGTGTGTGAATAATAATTGTGTGGACGAGGTAAAGCAGAAAACACCTTGCTTATGGCGGCAAATGTTCAGAACTCTCATCTGGGTTTCCCCTCATTACAGACCGTCCTGCTGCTCCCACGTGCAACAGTCTGTCATTAGATTATTACAGACAATGCCATTTCCATGTTAAGCCTCCATCTAAAGCTATTAAATCACAATAGAAGAAAAGCAGTGATTCTTCAACACCACAGTCCTTATCTTGTAACACAGGGGATTTCTCAGCGTTGAGTCCTCAGGAAGCTCTCAGCATCTCTCTTTTTCTCAGCCCTTGACGAACTTGTTGAGATGATCGCGACAACGATGAGCGATTGTGTAATTAGTGGCTACATTTTTGTGATTTATTTGTTATTGACTCAACACAAAATTGACAAACCATATATTCTGCAATGATCCACAATTTAATTGTTTCTGCATGTTCCCGCAAAGTTAAACGTGCCCAAATAAGGGCTTGTGACAAAGCAGTTTTGCTCTGCGTTTCTTGACAGGAAGTCTGGACGTTGCATGCTTCAGGGTGGCAGGCGCTAATGGGGCGGGTGACTCGTTGCAGGGGGGAAACAAAGTATTCCCATGGAGAGCCCATGTGACATAATCACAAGTCAGACAGAAGAACAAAGGTCCCATTGTCACTCAGACAGACCCTTATAAATCTGTCCTCCCCTCTTCCACCTTGTTCATACGAGAATCCCTTGCTGCAGTGAGGAGGCTGCTGCTGTTGCTCTGCCTCGGCTCTGACACAGGTTTCAGGAGTATTCATGAGGGGAATTCATGAGAGGCAGGATGTGCACCATGCAAATGTTTGTGGTCGATAAAACTATGCAAGCGTAGAAATGAGTTTCCTGTCAGGCGTCAAGCTTTATGTTTCTATGTTTCAAGCTAAGAATGGACAGGTGTGCTGCCAAACAGGGGACAAATATAAACATTTTTTAACAGATAAACACTTTTTTCATGTGCAGACTCAGACCTGTGGCTCGTACACTATAGTTGATAACAGGTTACCTTTCACAAATCACAGTGACCAAGTGACGAGATCCGTCAAAGGCGTACTGCACAAGAATTGGCTGCACTGTCTGACACTATATACTGTATGAACCAGCAGACGGCCACATGGGTAACAGTATCGTGCTTTCTGACAATTGCCATTTTGCTTTTTTGCCTAAATAACCACAGCATGAAGAATGTAAATAAGATAACATGTCAAAAACTGCAACTATACTCTCTCTCTACTCAAGGGAATCTAAAAAAAAAAAAAATACACATAGTAGGTCTTGTTTTCAAATGAAGAGACCAAAATACACAACAATAACATTAAAACTCACTCTAATTACTAAATCAATGACATCAATGTACCACATTAAGATCCATACATATCCTAACAGTCTTTCTGCCATGTTACACATCCTGTGCATATAGGACTCCATAGTTTGATATTAAGATAAAATACAAAATGTAAACCTGCAAACGTCTCTATAAATCTATTGTGCTTTTTGTTGTACTGAATATTTCCCCATTTGAAACAATTAAAATCACTAAAGACATACTCTCTCCTGGAACTAAAAAGATCGATGATTGATCGGTGGATCTGCAGAACATCAATCATCAACTAAATTGATCGACAAACTGATCAATCAAATGTTAGTATTTTCTGTTTAACGTCAATGTAAATAACAAAACAATGTAAATAACAAATACAAATTTGTCATTCAGACAAAAAAGTAAAAAATGAATTACATTTGCTTTTGTTTTTAGACTGAATGATTCATTGATTAATCAAAAAATGATAATTATCACTTTGTTTGGTTACAGCCTTATCGTTTAGTTTCTGCATAAAATTACTGCCTGCAACCCCTGACCACACAAATGCCACTCTACATTCACATTGTTTGCACAGATGATACATCACATAATGTATTAAATAAGGCTGTAACACAATGTGGGTCCAACGTAAACTGTAAAGCTGTATATGGCTCAACTTTAAATCTTTTAACACGTGACAGTTTTGAACATTTTACCTGCATTTTCTAAATATGAGCCCTGGGACTCCACCTAATGGAACCATTTTGTGGCCTTTCTCCAGCTGTCAGGCCTTGAAATTGCCATCACGTCCAGTCCCACTTGCTTTGGCTGAGAACTGGTGTATGGCTCCACTGGGAGGTGTGATGGGACAGGCAGGCCTGAGGGTGGCGGTAATGGGGTCATGTGGTTGAGGAACAGCTGATCCTGCTGCATTCCACAGCTGCTTAGCATGAGGTCTGCTGCCTTATCTGAATGTTTCTCCAAAACACTCACAGAACCGAAGCACGCACGTAAACACCACGACTCACCCGTGTGCTCAAACCTGCAGGCCACACTGAGATACACTGGGCACACTGTGTGCCACACACACCACCACTTAGAGGGCCACATGCATAATTTACACTTCCTGCTGTGGCTGTAATGCACACAAGGGACCCTCCATTCCAAAGTATTGCAAATCAATGTCTAATAGCCTGAATGGATGGAATCATGAAGAACCAGTACTGCCCCCTGTAGGACACCAGCACTCACACATACTCAACTTTTTCAGTGACTAGACTGATCCACCTCAGATCATCAGTCCCACATTGTAATTGTTGACTGTATATTGTTTTATAATTTGCATTATTTATTTACTTTTTCTAAGACTAATGTCATGATTGAGAAAGCATTTAGGTTGCATTTGTCCTTTAAACATTTTATTTAGTAAATGTGCGTCTGAGAATCTCGTCAGGCTGCTCTCGTGTGAGTAGGACTGCAGCAGCAGCGGGTTAGCAGTGAGCATGGGCAGTTGTTGCGTAGAGTGCTTGTTTGTTACAGCGGACTTTAAGTGTATATGAAACCTCTGAAGAACGAAGGCTATTCCCTTTTTTGCAGCATGCAGCCAAAGAGGTATTTGTTTTAATTGTCTATATTTTACTGTGTAAAATGTTATTTCACATGCTGTGCATGCTATGTTTTATGTTAGATTAACACGGTTGTAACTTTTATTTTCTTTGCAATGTGTGTTTAGTTTTCACGGTGGATTTGGAGAGAAGGCTTCGAATAAACCAGTAGCAAGAGAGCCACTTGTGTCTGCCTGTGCTTCGAGGGAATTAGAGCGAAAACTGTTCATCAACGCGAGTGGGCATCAATTAAGGACGGTGGAAACGTCACAGGTGTTCTGACAATTTCTGCTACTTGTCGAGAACTGCTACTTTGTTTTGCGCATGCGCATCCGATTTTCTGAGACCGTGTGTTGCAGCAGGTGGCGGCTCGTTGGTCCACGGTGAGTAACATCCTCAAAATCCCGAACATTTCCTCTGTTGGAAGACATGCAAAGTAATAAAACACTGGTTTATTATTAGGCTATTTATCGTTGAAGATAAACACTTAAACAGTGAACAGTGAAACATTGAACTTTGAAAAAACTTTTTAAAAAATACTGGAAAAAACTTAAATGTGAAAATCAGTCCTTCCTCCCTTACAACAGCAACCTTCTGGGGGCCATGATCCTGTAGAATAAACAGCCATATAAATGGCCATAATTAATATTGATAGAGCTTTATTAAGATTAATAAGTAAATGAAACAGATGCAACACCAGGGCTCTTTGGTGTGGACCTACTTGACCCAGCCCCGTCAAACATTTCTTTGAATTGTGTGACAAACTGGCTGAACCGCTGAAACCATAGCTTCCAACCTCAGGTTTGCACTGTCAGTGCAACATATCTTGATGTGTCATGAAAATGAATTTTGTGGACTGGGGGTACTGTGTTTGCTCAAAGATTGTTGCTGTGAATAATATGGTGTGTGGTTTGACTTAGTTGCTCATGTAAGTTAATTGAAGACTGCCATTTATAGACACATTTAAGGTGCCAAACATAATATCATAAACAATATACATGCTTTTTCATTCACTTTTATATTTTAAAGTGTGTTTTTGGAAGTAATAAGTAAAGGCTATTTGCCATTTGAGTTTGAAGTTTTTTACACATACTGTGTGTATTTTGGTACCTCCATATACTCCACATATTCAAAGCTGAATAAGCTGTTTTCTGTACATTTTTAATTTTCTAACTTTGTTTTTTTTTGCAATGTGTGTTTAGTTTTCACGGAAGGATTTGGAGAGAAAGCTTTGAATAAACCAGAAGCAAGAAAGCCACTTGTGTCTGTGCTTCAAGGGAAATCATAATTCTGCAAATACAACAGTATCATGACGCATACTTTAACCATTAAATTAGAGCGTATGGTGGATTACTTACGGAATTGTACATATCACCTCTGATATGACAAAATATATAAACGTATACAGGCCATAGAATCAACATATATTATTATGATATGTAACATTTATCTGAAAAAGAGGTATCACAGGCCATTCCTTCCAGCTGCCATCAGACTGTACATTCAGTACAAACGCCGAACTCCGGTGCTTTTCATTCCTGTACGTTTGCAAGAAGGATTTCACAAAATAAGTGAACGCATTTCCATGAAACTTGCTGGAAGGATATGGTATGTCTCAGGGTAGCCTATACAATTTTGGTGCAGTTCACTTGCCAGTGAATACTTTACTGATATAATTTTTTTTACTATTCTGTGTTGCTGCAACATGGCAAATTAGTAGTGAGAGTATTGATTACATCATCTTCTCTTATAACTGTTCACGTGGTCCCAATAACATGAAAAAGTTATGAAACTTCCCAATGTGACCTCAAAACATTTATTCACAACTCTTACACTTATCACTCCACCATCTCTCCATATTTGCATGCCTATGAGCCCTTTGTGTGATGATTGAGGGTAAAAAGAATTTCCCAGTATCTCTTCTTTTCAATAGCAGGATGTCTCTGACTGTTAATATCAGAATTTACGGTGTTTATTCCAGCTGGGACCACTGGATGGCAGTATGTTTTCAACAAGAACCAGACATTTAAGACAAATTCTGATAAAATAATTTAACACGTTCAGACCCTGTGGAAACCCACATCATCTGTCTGATTCTTTTAAGTAACATTTTATCAGTGCTGGTCTTCAAGTCATTTGGTCATTAAGATCCACATTATATTCTAGGTTTCACAATCTCCTCAGCATCCATGGACTAGGAAACTGATTTATTGTGTTCGAAAATAACTATTAAAAGAAAAACAATTACTGCTCGTGGATATTTGGAACCCACTGCAAAGCCATATACAGAATGTCAAAGTAATGTAATTACTTGAGGCAAAGGTGAAAAAATGTCTAGAAACTGTCTTTTGAAGACCGGAGGTGTTGGATTTTTTCCCCCTCCACACTTATTCCCTGCTAATCATATATTTTCATAATGAGAGAACAAAAGCACAGGAGACCATCAGTGTCTTTATGTACACTTTTATTGTCACAACTTGACTGTTGGCAGTCAGGCAGGACGGACAGAGCCAGATTACTTCTTGGTCTCCTCCTCCTTGGACAAGTTCTTGATGATCTCCTCCTTCTTGGCCTGGAGACGCTCCTCTCTGCGCTTGCGGGCCTCCTTTGTCTTGGAGCGACGAGCCTCAGCCTGGTCGCTGTGGGAGAGACGGGGAGAAAGCAACAGCTGAGCACAAATACTGAAAACATGTAGTCATGGCTCTGCTGCAACTTTAAGTTCAGAGAATTCAACGCTTGTTCAAAATGGAAACAGTTTTTAATAATAAATCTGATGTATGTGAACTAACCAAGCAACCAAAAAAAGAATTAAGGCCAACGACAGTCTGGTGCTAAATAAAACAGTGCTGACATATTGATGTCCAAAGGCATTTCATAGTGTAAACACTAAACCTATCACTTCACCAACACATTATTTAGTGAAGAGCATAATGAGAATGACTATTTAAGTATTAATCAAGGCGTTGAATATGGGTGTGTTAAAGTTCTGGAAACAGGAAATCGTGTTTGAGTGTTGACTTACGACAGGAGCTTCTTGCGGGCCTTGTCTGCCTTCAGCTTGTGAATGTGCTCCATAAGGATACGCTTATTCTTGAACACGTTACCCTTGGCCCTCAGGTAGAGGCTGTGGTACCTGAAGGAGAGCAGAGCAGGAAAAGGTCATCAACAAAAATCACACAAAGTGATTGTGCTTTTAAGAATCTACAACACCAGTGTTGTTGGAGGTGTCATTGAGTTTAGTTTTACATTTGCAAACACGCTCAGAGTGTGTTAATGTAAAATGAGCCCATTGCCACAAAGGGAAATAAATGCAGTATAAAAAAAAAAGACGCTTTCATTCATTCCCCCTGAAAAATAACCTAATGTTAAAATAATCCATCATTGTTCATCAGCAGCAGATCAACACAACCAACAAAAGGAAGTCATGAACGTACATGTGCCTGTCAATCTTCTTGGACTCCCTGTAGCGACGCAGAAGACGACGCAGGATCCTCATGCGACGCATCCAGGACAGCTTCTCTGGCATACGGGCGTTGGCAGTACCCTTTCTCTTACCTGAGAAAAGAAATTAAATAGATATGTCAACTTTACCAGACACATTGATTGCCATCATCCAGGTGGTAATTACTCCACACTGTTGGTCACTATATCTGTTAATATTGTCTCAGAGTCTGACACCGAAATGTATCAATTTAGTTGAATAGATTGTTCATGGTTTCTTTACTCATGAATGCAATTTGGCAATCTGATAACCTGTTCTGTTAAATTTACAATAAACATTAAGTACAAACAACATCAGCTCAGAGACGGCTTCAACTTACCGATACCAGTGTGTCTTCCCTTGCGGCGTGCAAGTGTGTTCTTGCGGCAGCGGGCCCTAGAGTGGACCGTAACAGGCTTACGGATGATAAGACCATCCTTCACCAGTTTACGGATCTGCTGGCCTGAACACAGAAAGAAACAGGTGAGCCACAGGGACACGCTGAATAAAACCACAATAATAACATTGGACCACTGTCTTGTGCATGTGTGAACGGCAAACTGCAGGTAACTTTAGCCAATTCTTTGGACTTTACCAACAGATCATGTCTGAAAACAGCTTCTGTTTTAAGAGCTTAAAAGGTTGGAAAACACAATGGACAACCAATAGGGACATTATAGCCACAAAATAGATTTTAAATTAACTTCAACAATGATATAATTGTTAAATTAATAGAACCTGGGCTCAGATTCAGTGTCATTAAGTGGGGACTTAGATCAATGGAAATTCAAGCAAAAGAATATATTTCAGACTAATTTAACATCTGAGGTATTTTAAAAGTTTGCGAACCATTTGCTGTACTTTCCTTCTTAGAGGGGATTATATTCATTAACCTTCAGATACCATGATCGAAGCTCTGTCTTGATTTTACACACTTCAACAGAAAACCTAGACATAGTTGACTTGAGGTCAAATAACAGGTAGAACATCAGACACTATTCAGCTGCAGTGTAGAATTATAGCCACCGGCCTATTGTAACGGTGCTGTGATCACAGTGACAGTATACCTCAGAGACAATCAGTATTTCCACTTGAGAGCAACAGTAACATTTTCAACTCGTTCCTTCACAACTGTGGATCAGTGCCTGTGCACCAGGGCATCACACGTGTCTGTGTTGGAGCCTTTACAAAGGAGGATCCGGGAGCTGCAGGCTGTGATTTCACTGTCATGGCCAAAGCTGAATATGAAACTCGTGTTATTCGGAGTTAAAGAACTTGTTGCTCCACTTACGGGAGTTGGCGTTGGCGATCTCATTGGTCTCGTTAGGATCCAGCCAGACCTTCTTCTTGCCGCAGCGCAGGACGCTGGAGGCCAGCCTCTTCTGGAGCCTGAGCATGCTGCGGGACACACAACACACAAGTAAACGGACAACTCCGGCCCCCGCATGTTAGTCAGGATCAGACTGGGCTCGTTTGATTGTTCATTTACAGAGTTATGACACAGAATCATAGAGCTGAGGGGCCCTTAGCCGCGCGGCTAGCACTAAGCTAACAGGCAGCCGGGTTTACAACATGGCCTCCGCGCTCCTGCTACATCGTGTCGCCCCGAGACACGTGAAAATGTGAGATTCTAACGTTTCAGCGAGGTTTAAACGTTGTGTGTCGATAGACGAGGAAGTCGCCAGTCTTCTTAAGGCGACGTGAGGTTAACATGTGTGTTTTTAACAGCTAAAGAATGACTTTTCTCACGCGCTGGGCTGCGGTCCTACCTCATGGCTGCTACTTCAGTAGGAAAAGGAAGGCTGGAGAGACGAGCTGGGAGCTACCATTATAGAGGAGGCTCCATTTGTCAGCACTGACCGGCTTCGTCTCAGCAACTAGATAATGAACACATGAAACGATTATCAGTGCAGATGTTTTACTTTATTAAAAACTCAAACGTGTATAGAATTGATAAAGACAAATGTGTGACCGACTTAGCTCAAATACTTTAAATCACTAAACCCCTTCGTAAAATGATGGTACCGGCCGACGTTTTCACAATGCATTATGGGTGACGTAGTACTTAGGTGCTTTCTGCCGTTTCACCACGTAGCGGCGGTGTTGAGACCAAAGACATCACCAGGAACATAAAGTACGATGTTTAAATGGCTTTCAAGTATAAATATTGCATTTGTGTATTTTTGATGGAAAATTCAACTAATCCAAAACATGAATTCAAAAACATGAATTATGAAAGTGTTTCTGCTTAATCCTTGATTTTCAATTCCTCCCTCACAAAAGGCTTCACATCTTGTTATAAAAATAAATAAATAAAAAACGAAATAAATAATGAAATTAGTTATTGTTGGAACTTTTTGTTCTAATGTAATCTAATGTAATATTTCATTGTTTTTATTTCTCCTCTTTGTAGTGGCTTTGCAAAAACTCCACCACTGCACTGCTGTCTTTCATAACACAGCTGGAGGGGGGAAAAAAAATATGTCCCCAAAATATTGTACAAACCCAAAGTATCTTGATACAATCTGAACTCTGAAGTGATGCACCGTGAAATCTGTTAAAGATGTGACTGACACTTTTAATAAACAAGTAACAGCATTAAAAACGAATTGAAAGAAGTGTGGGGACAATTTGCTGTGTAAAATATGCAGCTACAGGAGAGTCAGAGGAAAAATCTATATTGAACAGTAATTAAGATATGAGAGAACTTCACGGTCAGGCGTTTGAGTGTCCTCCACTGAAAACAATAACTGACAGCAGTGAGTGATTTACTGACAGGGCACGTACGAAGACCTTCGTAAAAATAGCCAACTGTTACATATACAACTGACTGACTACTTATTAAAGCTGCAACCGTAGCGTCCTCGACCCTCTGGCAGCAGCTCGTCTCCGTGGCAACGGTGCACATTCGCA